GGGACCCAGTCATATTTCACCCAACTACCTCCCCAGACACTTCTCACGATCGCATCCGACAAAACTTCCATTTTGGTCTCCTGAAAACAAACTAGGTTGGCACCCCACTCCCTAACTCCCATTTTGATGATGGCCCTTTTGTTTGGGTCATTCATCCCCCTGACATTCCATGAAAGGATCTTAACTTCCATAAGCAACAATAGCCCCCATTTCCCCACCCCTCCTAACCGAGGTCCCTTTCTCCATGTCACACACTCGACCCCTTCTCTGATACACCATTACATCCCCTATTTTATTTTGATTAGCACCTTTACCCAACTTCCTCCCCGCGCCTTCGTAACAAGGTTGTTTCTCAATATCCCTCAACAGTTCTAGCATCCTATCTTCCTTCCCTTCAAAAGAAATACCTAAGAACTTCCCAAAGTTTAATAGTTTATCCTCCATCCATAAGGACATATCCCCTTCTCCAATCCGTGACAAAATTGGACATGCGTCTTCTGTAATTACCTTTTCCTTGCCCCTACCGGAGGAATGCAAGGCCATAGCATTGCTAGTAATAGGAATTCTGAGTGCCGGGTGGATTACGTCGTTTCTTTGAGAGGCACCAACCTCAGGAATTAATGCCTCTCTTGGAGGAGATTGTATTGTAACCTCAGAACATCTAAGCACAGTGGGAGATGAGGGGGCGATGGAGCTGGGTCCATCAGAGGCGGGGGGCCATGGAATAACACCGCCAGCTTTAGCCGGTGCTGCCCCTGGAACAGTGGCCGAAGAGGGGCACAAGTCCCTAGTGCTTGGTGAAGAAATAACACTGTGTGAGGCATCATTGGCAGAAGAAGGAGGAGTGACTGCTCCCATATGTTTAGGAGCCTTAACGGACGCAGCTTGATATGGCCCTTTGGATCGATTCTAATAGAATTGGAAAAAGTTGCTGGGCCCATGTGTGGAGGCCCAGGACTATGCTTGCTGAAATCTTTTCCGACCCTATGATTGTTAAGAGAGTACCGACCCATTCTACCTTTCCAGCCCGCATCACTAACCCATTCACGTCTTTTCCTCCTGATAAAATTTTGTCTTCTTCTCCCAAAATCAAACCTCCCGTCACTTCTCGATCTACCGTCTGTTTCCAGCTTAATCCACTGATCCGGTGAGCCCTCCCCTCCCCATGCAAGTGTTAACTAGGCAGATTGTAATATTTTGAAATAACTACTCTATCCGGAATTTGTTCTGGGACTAACTTGTGCAGATTAAAACCTTTTGACATATCTCTCCTATAAGAAAAACTATTATTAACAAAAAAACCTTTTGACATATCTCTATCCTTTCCCAATGTAATCTTTTGGAGTCACATAAACACTTTTCTTTTTCTAGGTATCAGTAAAAGGTAGTACGAGTACTTGTCATTAGTTTTGGCAATTGCTGCAAGTGGTGATTTGTTTTGGCCATCCTTATGAAAATTATCACAATATGGTATAGGCATCTCTTTTCCACCTTTTGATCAGTTGCCTGAAGTTTAGCGACATTTGGCTTGATCCTCACAGTCTTCTCCCATACATTTTATTGATAACTTTGATGCAAATACTGTTAACGGCAGTGATCTTAATTCTATCTCAAGCATAATTTTGATTCATGCAGGAACCTAGTCATTCAGTCTTGACGTTGTCATCAGATTCTGAATCTTCTCATGATTGCAGTTCCATAAAAGTGAAGGAAGTCCTTGATAAAGAGTTGCTTATACACGATGCTAAGCCTATAAAAGAAGAAGAAAATGATGTACCTTCTACATCAAAATCTCCAAAGAAAAAGCTGAAGAAAGAGGATCCGGAAAAGAAGAAAAAACTAGAGAGTCAGCTAAAGGAAGGTAAGTCCGCTGTTTCTGGCTTCTGAACATTCTAACCATAACTTAGTATATAAGAGATGAATGGATCTCAAAACATTTGGAGCAAGTGTCTATTTAAGCTTACATTAGGGTTTTGCTCTCTTTATCTTGTAAGAGCTGTTGGTTCTCCTGACATTTTATTTGTTTTTCTTTGTAATATGTTGTTTGAAATGGTATAGAGAAGGAAGACATGGATGCTGTGGAGGAAAATATTCCAGAGAAACAAAGTGTACCAAATGTGAGAAACTTTAGTAATCCTTGATGGATCTTTGTTTATGTTGAATGCTCACTCATTCACTTTTATGATCATTGTGTAGTTGTCATCTTCAAGGCTGCCTTTGGTGCTTCCCGAGAAAGTACAAAGGACAAAGGTAAAGTAAGCAGGGTGTGGTGACTATGTTGGTGTGGAGGTTATTACTATGGTTTGTTTGTTTTTCTCTTTATTCTTTTCCTTTCAGCAAATTTCCTTCTCAAATCTGCTAATAAGTTCAGAGTTTACTAGTTTTCACCCCTTTCAGTTTTTTTGTCCTTTATAACGAAGAAATCCCCGAGTGCGCAACACGATGGATCATGGGCCCGCTCCTCTACCCTTCTCCACTTAAAGACGTTTGTTTGTGGTAGGGTTCGAACTTGTGATGTGCACTTAACCCACACATCATGTGCTGCGCTTACCACTAGTCAAGATCCTGAGGGCACACCCCATTTCAGTTTTTCTCCTGAGCTGAGAAGTTTGTCTAAATGTCAGAGGAAGAGGATATGGTGGCTTATTCCAGTTTGGCATCTAAAAAGTTCACTGTACTAAGTCCAAAACAAAGTCATTTAGGTGACACTAGTTGAATTCTTCCCATTTGCTTAATCTTTTGGGAGGCAAAGTTGCCTTATTTGTGCTGGTGAGAGATAACAGGTATCCGGTAGATTAATGGAGGCGTCCACTAGCTAGCAACACCATTATCAAGAATAAATAAAAAATTTGTGCTTAGGCATTAGCAGGTTGCCACTTCTATGGAATTTTTAACAAGTTGGATGTTGGTACAATTAATGGATTGTTAATATTGTACTTGTTTTTGCTTTTGTTTCTTCTTTCCCCAATCCTCTGTTATTTTCCGTTAATCCTGTGAAGCTTTGCATCACACCTTAGATTCCTTTCTTGACATAGGCACTTGTGGAGTGTGAAGGTGATTCCATAGATCTGAGTGGTGATATGGGTGCTGTTGGGAGGATAGTTATTTCAGACGGTCCATCAGGAAAACATGAAATGCTTTTCGATTTGAAAGGTATAAACATGTTTCTGAAACCTTTGTTTACCAATTTCTTGCAAGTCACTTTCGTGGTTGCTTTTTAATATGTTTCAAACAATCAACATCATTATTGCTCTAGCTTGACAAAATTTATTAATTTGAATCAATATGCTATCATATCACTTTAGCCCATATGTTTAAAGCACATGAAAACACAACCACATTTTCTGCTTTAGGCTTGGGTACTAGCAATTTCCACAAAAGTTTTCTTGTAATCTTATTACTCTGGAAAAGTTTGTTCTGAATGCTTCAGTTCATTTATATCTCAGGAACCATATATAAAACGACAATATTGCCTTCCAGGACGTTTTGTGTGGTATGGCGCTCTTGTCTCTAGCAATTTTCTGCTGTCTTTACCTATCTCCCCCATACACACACATGCACAAATGCACCCACCTCCACATATGTATATCTAATAAAATTGTGCTCTTTTGTAGGTAAGCTTTGGACAGACAGAAGCAAAGGTTTGTTTCTTTGGCTTGCTTACTGATTAATCAGCTATTCTATCCATGGTGTAACTTTAGATTTGCTATTCTGGCAGGGGTTTATGACTTGTCTCTCATTTTACTTTCCATTTTATCAAAGCGTGTCCTAAAATTTTTAGAAATAAGTAAGATTTATGCTGTTAGTTGAATGATTATGTGCTCTCTGATCAGGTGGATGCCATCATGAATGACTTCATACAACTGAAGCCACAATCAAATGTTTACGAAGCTGAAACCATGGTTGAAGGTCAAGGTTCTATCTGAAATATCTGCTTTTATAGAAAGTAGATGTCATATGTCTTCTAGTGTTTCACTTTGGGAACTAAGCCATTTACAGTCCAATTTGAATCGATCCTTCTGACTTTGATAGGGACTCTTGATGGTTTCACATTTGATTCGGACGAGGAGGCTGAAAATTTGCGAAGACCAGCTTCCCAAGGCGACCAGAATGAGAATGTTGATCATCAGATCAATGGAAATGTCAAAGCAAAAGCTAAAAAAGCATCGGTATGCTTTGTTCTTTTTGTTTATCACTGAGAGTTGCTTCAATTTCTAGGTCATATATTGAGATCCAAGCTGTCTCTGCAGGCTACGGAACAAAAGAAGGGCAAGAAGGGAGTGAAGATATCAAATAAAGTTAAAAAGAAACCTCAAGCACCGAAGAAAAGCAAGAGCAAAAAATAAGATATGATTGTACATATTTCATTCATACTTTATGTATTCTCATATTTTCTTTTCCTCTTTTTGTTTCCTGTTTTTCCTGTGCTTTGCCTACACAAATACTAGTCATAAATTTGTAAGAGCTTATAAAAGTAGTCTTAAAAAACGAGAATATTGGTACTGACCAGATCATATTAATTTGCAAGATGTTCACATCGCTGTGGAAAATCCACCATCTCAACCCTAAATATCCCCATATTTCGTTTAGAGGTTCTGTCATCGACGAACTTTAATCTCAGATTTTGATTGCTTTTCCTTTGCATTTCTCACTTTGCAGGTGAATTTTAAATGTGTGTTGATTCAATTTAACAAAGAACAGCAATTCATCCGATTTTCTACATTTTGTTAGTGTGTAATGTGATACTTAAAAAACAAGTAAAGAGAATGTTTAAATACAAGATACTGCCTATTTTAAACAGGTTGCTGTCTGTATGGTTTTGCTCTAAGTTTCCTCAGGAATGCCCCAACTATTTCTCCAGATATCATTCCTTAAATGTTCTCTTGTTATGACATACCATGTCCTGATTTGTGCTGTTCTGACTTATGTCTGGAGATATGTGCTGAAAATTAACAGCACAATCAGCATCGGGAATGGAAGGAGAATGCTTGAAGAAACTGTCCCTGATAACTTTTCCATTTTGCTTTCTTCAATAGGTGGAGTTGTTTCTCCACCGTTGGGTCTCTTTATCCTGTTTCACAATCCAATAGTGGTAGATTAGGGGAAGATGGAAAACGTAAGATATAGTGTATGGATAATGAGATATGTTTATACACATTACCCGTTCATGGGGCAGAAGATGATTGAGTAGTCGTCAGCCTTGCAGGTAAAAGTGCTGGTGCCATCATCATATGCATAGCTATAAGCCCTTGGACAAGCTCTCTTGAAGATGCTAGAATAGAATGATGGACGACAAGTTGTTGGATTGGCAAACTCACCGGCACAGCAATACTGATCTAAACCAAAGGCCTCACATGCACTCTTGCATGCTACTACATTTCCTTCTCCATCTCCACCCACCACTTGAAGTTCTTTTGGACAACCTGTTAGATTTTTGAATAGATATCTGTTAGTCTTATCTGTTAAATGCATCCCAGTATATTTGCACCCAAAGATGTTAGTCAATTGACTGCCTAAGTCGTGGTGGGCACAGTTTCTTGGTGCTTGTGCTGGTGAAGGTGAAGGTATCAGGTATCTGGTGGGATAGTCAAGGTGCTTGCAAGGTGGCCAGAACATTATTGCTATAAAAATAATCTTCTAATCATGTTCAGTACGCAACTACACAGAACATACCCATGTTAAGATTGGATACACATCCAGTGATATTGCATCCTCCATGGACTCCCTCTGGGGCTGCAACCATTGGCAGATTGTAACCATCAACTATGCTAACGTCGTAGAAATCTTTGGCCTCTCCTGTACCCAGAGTTATCTCGAAGAGAGAGGCAGGTGGTGTGGCACCAAGGCCATCACATTCGAGCTTTCCACCACAGTCACCTGTTTGACAAGAGCCAACGCCAGAGGCATCAAAAGTGCAGCCAGTTCTTGCCCAAATTCGACCTGACCATCCCGGGACACTTGGAATTCTGACGCTTTGGCCAGCATTCAAATGAAAGCCAGTCATGGAAAGTTTAGGTGATGAAGAACCAGACAGTGTACCAGGCCATATTGTATAAGGACAATTGTTAGTAATGGTGAAAGTGCTGGCAAAAGAATGAGAGAAGAAGGCGCAGAAAAGCAATGAAACTGAAAGCTTTTTCCAGGAAGTTATGGTCAGCATATTATTATGGTCGTTAGTCTATGATTGTGTCCTATATTTATGGAA